AGAGCGCTCGTCGTTGTCGTCGTCGTCGTCGCCATTCAGGGTCGGCGGCACCATCCGTAAGGCCTTCGCAATCCATAGTAAGGACGGGCGGGAAGGACGCAAGGGCCTTGGACGCCGAAGTTGGCACCTTTGGAAGCAACCGGAAAGGCTGGCCAATGAAAACCGCGAAGGACGGGCCGCAGAGTCAAGGACGCAGTAGTGCCATAAGGACACCCGTGCGTCCTTTCTGTGAGTTTTGACTGTGCAGTCGACCCGAACAGTAAGGATGCACGACAAGGACACAAGGGCCTTGGACGGCCGCTCCGAGGCTTTTCGAGCGGGGCGCGGCCAACGAACGTGGCCGAGGATGGACCGAGGAGGCAAGGGTGCAAGGATACCCTTGGGAACATTGTCCATCCTTACTATGCGGGTTGGCTGTACCTCGGCTGGGACAGAGCTGGCCAAGATCGGAGTGTTTGGATGCCCCGGCTGCAGTTCAGGAATTTCGGCCACGCGCGCAGAGCGCGCCCTGCCTATTACATGCCCTCGCTAAGGCGCCCAGCGGGCATCTGCAGCAGCTGGCAAGCTGTGCAACGCCTCAGAGAGCACACTAGATCTGCTGTTACCGAACTTGGATGAGACATCAGGCGAGCGTATCGCAGACCGCGGCGTTGATGCCTCCCCTCGATGCCGTCGCCACACTCACCACTGCGCGACTGCGACGCCAGACGGAGGAGATGGTATCTCTGGCAGGTGATACGCGACGTGTATGCTCAGGCCAGCACAACAAGACATACAAGGTGTAAATCCCGCCAGCCCATTGGAGAGTGAGTGGTTTAGAGCGTGTCCTCTTCCAACCCCCCTTCTTTCACTGGTTCCCATTGATATACACCCCCTTCCCCTCGGCGACCGGCAGCTAACCAGGAACAATGCCGACCCTATATCACCATCCCAACCATCCCTTTTCAAAAGAAATACACAACACACTCTGCCTCAAAATCCAGAGCATGCGCAACAAACCCGATGCGGCCCCCGAGCACACTTCGAGGCAAAGTTTTGAGTCATACTCGCGAGGCCTGCGAGTACTTTGTATGGCTTTTTGATAGGGACGGCGGGGGTGTCAGCATATTGCCTCCTGAGCGCAGGGCCACCATCCCTGTCAAGAACAATGCGAAATCCACCTCGCGGCTAAATCTGGATCATGCGCGGCCAGCCCGCGATGACTGTTGAGTGGTTTTTGGCAGGGACGGCAAGTGTGGTGGCGTATGGCCTGCTGTGCGCAGGCCCACCAGACACAATGATAGGGATTGGTCTTCGACAAGGATGGTGGGGGCCGACATGTTTTCCGATGTGTGCTGTCACGTGCGCAGGCGCACCTAGCACACTCTGCACGTGCCCCAGACGTGGCGCACCTGGCCAAGCTGGAATATGCGTCACACATGGCGCACGTGGAGCACGTGGCGCAACAGGCGTGCCTGGCACGCTCAGGCCAAAGTGGTGGCTGGCGCGGGTGGCGCGCCTGGCACGCATGGCGCACCTCGCCCCAGCGTCGCGCACATGGGGACGGTGTTGGCTCCTGGTAGCTGCCCATCCAAAGTCAGCGCCCCACAAACGGGGACTCCACTAACGGGTACTTTGGCCAGTGACCCAGCGAACCCAACCCTTCCCGATGCGGGCAACGCTGCATTGCCAGAAAAAGGCCCTAAAGTGGCAACTTTCGGCAACAATTCAAAGTACCCGTTAGTAAGTACCCGTTACGGTACCGTTGACAAAGCCGACCGCTGAACATGCCGGAGGCTCGCGTGTCACTTCTGTGTTGGGAGGCCGGGTGGATTTGAGCTAGACGGCTTGCTGTCTACAAATGAAGGGGCCCTGGGACACACAAATAAATAGTTTCCCATATTTTCCCATATCGTCTGGGTTTTTCTCTTCCCCCCACTTCCCATATTTTCCCATATTTTCTGCGGAATCGACGATTAATTGTGTCTGTGTGCTTTTTTCCCTCCTGACCCAACCCTTTCCCCAAAGCTTCGACGAGGCGCTCCGCGAGGTGTTGGAGTGTCTAAGTTTGCCTCGGCGAGACAGCACAAACCATTCATTGTACGACGGTGCGGGTCCCATGTTGCCTCCTGAAGGAGGGGGGAAGATTTACTACGGCCCGTCCGTTGATGGATCTCCTCCAAGATGGCCCCACGATGGCCCTCGAGGCTCCAAAGGGTGCCCCAAGAGGTGCCCAGGGAGGCCGCAAGAGGCCCCCAGGCCCCCAGGATGCTTCGAAGAGGCTACCAAGGTAACCCCAATACACCTCCCAGGGGCACTCAAGACGCCCCAGAGGCCTCAACGAGAAGGCGGCCCAAAACAGTAATGTCATTCAGGTGTTGGCCACATGTTGGCCTCGTGGGGGGGGTCCCTAATTAGGGAGCCCCCCTCCGTTGATGGATCTCCTCCAAGATGGCCCCACGATGGCCCTCAAGACGCCCAAGGGTGCCTCAAGCCGGCCCCAAGAGGCATCCAGGAGGCCCCCAAATTGCCCCCAAGAGGCTCCCAGGAGACCTCCAGGACGCCCCAAGAGGCTTCGGCGAGAAGGCCAACATCATTGATCTGACCAAGGCGTTCGCTACATTTTGGCCACGTGGGGGGGGACCCAAAGTAAGGAGCCCCCTCCTTTGAAGGATCTCCGCCAAGATGGTCCCCGAGGCTCCCGAGGGTGCCCCAAGACGGCCCCAAGAGGCGCCCGGGAGACCCCAAGAGGCCCTCCAAGAGGCTCCCAAGAGGCTCCTAAGAGGCTCCTAAGAGACCCCCAAGACGCCCCATCAGAGACGGCCAAGACGCCCCAAGAGGCCTCGGCGATAAGGCCCGAAGCCATGATTTTACTAAAGTGTTGGCCACAATTCGGCCTCCTGGGGGGAAGGCCTAATCTATTACGGCCCGTTCTGCGAGCGATCTCCTCCTAACTGGCCCCAAGATGGCCCCCGAGGCTCCCAAGGGTGCCCCAGGACGGCCCCACGAGGTGCCCAGGGGGCCCTAAGAAGCACCCAAGAGGCCCCCCTTCAAGAGCCCCACCCCCAGAGGCACCCAAGACGCCCCAAGAGGCTTCGGCGAGAAGGCCCCGAGAGGTCGCCCAGAGGCACCCAAGACGCCCCAAGAGGCCCCTGGAACTACCAAGAGACCTCCAAGATGCCCCAAGAGGACTCCAAGAAACTCTCGAATGACATCTGAAGAAACTTCGAGAAACATCATGGGGCCCCTGGCCTTCTGCTTGCCGCCCCCCTCCTCATCCTCTTCCTCATCCGCCCCTCGTCCTTCCTCCTCCCTCCTCCTCCTCCCTCTCTCCATACCCATCCTGCTCCTCCTCAATCATCCCCCTCTTGGGGTGTGACGTCTTACCTTACTCCGCATGCTCCTGGCCATCCCTGATCAGGGCAACTCATCAAGACCTCGTATCATGGGGTTACGCGAAGCGTTTAGACTATACACAAAATAGACGGCAACTCCATGCTTCATTCTATTCGCGCACGGATTTGCTCTCTCCGAACTCTCCTTGTCCTGCCCTCGCTCTTCTCTTCTGGTCCATCTCTCCTCTGCAGGAATGACGCTCGCCTCCCACATCAGCACATGCCGCTATCGCAGATGCACAACTGCGTCAGACGAGGGACATGCATCGCGTCAGACGAGGGACATGCACCATCTGCGCAAGTCTCACCACAAAATCCTCCTCCTCCTCCTCCTCACTCGCTCCCGATGTCCCGTGAAACAGCTAGTCCGAGTCAAATCCACCTTCGAATGACGGGGACCTGCCACAATGCATCAGCCATTTGATCGAGGGAATACAAAGCACGTAAACGTAAACTTTCGACGGTCCGCGTGGATTTCTCGGCACTGCGCTGGGCCGCCCTCCCTGGCGCGCGGAGCGCACCAGGGGCGGCGCCGGAGGCGCCAGGGGCGCCAAAAGTTGGGTTATGGCGTTTGTTCTTCTTCGATTTGGCATTCATCAACATGGAGCAGCGGATCAAGCATGCACTTCGCACTGTACCACAATCACGCTTGCCGCATGCCCGCCTGATGGACCCAGCAAGTGGTGCCGTGCCGTGGCCGTGGGTCCCAGACCGCGGCGATCCGCAAGACCGCAACCCATCCTCCTCATCCTCCTCCTCGGTCCTCGACCTTGCTACTCCTCAACCTGATGTCCTTGCTCCTCATCATCCTTCCTGCCCCTCCTTGCTGCTCCTCGACCTGCTGTTCCTGCGGCTCATGCTGCTGCTTCCTCCTCCTCCTCATCCTTTTTTCCCCGATCCTCTTCCTTCTCCTCCTCACCATCATCCTTCTGTTGTCGTTCCTCCTCTGAAGGTCCTCTGGAGGCTTCGGGAGGCTCAGAACGAGCCATAGGCCATAGATGCATCAACAACGCTCGACCTCTCTATTCAAGACGAACAAAAGACGGCATACCTATAAACTGTCAGAGGTCCGCGCGGATTTCTTGAATGTGCGCGGATCCCCCATCCCTGGCGCGCGGAACGCGCCACGGGTCCAGCGCCGATATACGACAGTCGCGCGGAACTCCGAACGTTTGTGCTGTGTATGCCGCGTTTGCGTCTTCGGTATTGTGTCCCTTCTCATCCTTCTTCGGGTGCTGCTAGAAATGCCCCTGGCTCAAGGTGCCCCCAAGATTGCCGAGGAGGCCCCTACGGCCTCCAGAGCACCCCTCACGAGGCCCAGCAGAGGGCCCCAGGGGCTCCAAAGATAGAGCGAAACGCTGGAGGCACCTTGGGCCAGGGACACTCCTGACTTCCCTCTCTCGCTCGCCGCCGATCTTCATCACTCCCCCTCCTCTTCCCTCCTGCTCGCCCGCCCGCGGCCCGCCATGTCACGACAACGACATCGACGATGACGACGACAAGGAGGAAGATGTCGACGAGGACGAGGACGAGGACGAGAACGACGCTGACGCTGACGCTGACGACGAGGCTGACGCTGATGATGACGCTGACGCTGACGCTGACGCTGACGACGAGGACGAGGAC